GGGCATAGTGGCGCTGGATTAATGGTTGGACCGTGAAGGTCCTTTCCAACCTAATGATTCTGAGTTGTTTTTATTGTCTACTATTTTAACTCATGAATAAACACCTAGCCTAATACATAGGTGTTTGGCTGTGCATCTGCTATTAATCACAGTAATGTAAACTTAAAGTAAAACTTCTAAAGTGGATGATGAAAATGTCTTATTGCTTCCATAGGTTCATCACTTTTAACTATAGAAGCATATGAACGCAAATTTACAGGAGAAAACATAAAATACAGTATCTTCAGTGACAAGGAAAACATATTCTCCATACACCCCATTACAGGTACATTTTTATAAATGCATTTTTTTTCAAGTGTCTATGTGTAGCTTAAAGAGTATGGTCTCTAAAATACAGCAAGTTCCTATCACAAGAACAAGGGGTAGAGTATCTTAGAGTATTACTTTCCTGTTACAATGAATGAATCATTAGTAAAACATCATTAAATGTTTTACTAAATCATTTACTAAAAATCATTAGGGGTGTGGAGAGACCTGCGCTATTGTAAACTTGATGTGGAAAGAAATTGAACACCAGCATACCTGTTTAAAATGCTAAATTCTGATTAACTATTAGTCATCAGGTGTTGGGAGTTGATAAACTACTGCTTTGTGATTCAAGCTGAGATTACATCTTGTTTCTCATCATAAAGTTGCCCAAAACCTCAATAAATGTAGTCCTTCAAAACACTCTTAATGTAGAAACCATTGGAGCCTTGTTGAATTTAATGCTCTTTATTTCAGGCAAACCTTGATAAGTCTGAAAGTCAACTTTGTTTTTTTTTGGCGAAATTTTTTTGGTGTTTGTGTTCTGCAGCAGGTCTGCTTTCACCTGCTGCTCAGTCAAGAACTTTCAGATGGCAGAAGAGCAACGAGCTCCCCATGTGCATTTGCATGCTCTCATCTAAGGCATGTTAAGAGAGCATAGCGACTCTGGTTGCACCTCCACTCCTAAACATCTGCAACAAAAGAGTTTGCATTCTGAGTAGCTATAGCCTTTCTGGGATGGCACAGACATTGTAAGCAGTTTTCCTCAGAGTGTAAATAGTTTGCACTTTTAACAAACAGCTTTCTCCCTGAGTTCCTGGAGGCTTTAATCTCTGATTATTCTGATGTCTTCAGGCATCAAGTAGTGTACTCCTGTAAAGCTATCATGTTTGATGCTGATGAACAGCTAAAATTACTTTGTTTTGTTTAGATGAGAGGTACTGAAAGTGTATACACTTGATTTCCAAGTCCTTATTTCACTGAAATAAAGCTAAAAAGATTAATCTTAAAGACCATCTTAGACCCAGACAAGTTTATCCCTAAGAAAGTGAATCTTCTCCAATATCACCTCAAAAAAAACCCCCCAAAACCAACAGAATTTTCCTTTTTTTAATCAATCCAGGCTGAAAAATGGTTACATGATGTTTTTAAGAGTCTCATAAGCACTTTCTTCACAAACAATAGTGGAATTTCTATAGCAATGGATGTCACAAGTCTTTTGAGATATTTGAGCCATTGTTGTTTCTTCTGTTTCTCAGAAAACATTAACTGAAGTACAGCCTTTCAGGACTTAAGAGCAGTTCTTGCCTTAGCATTAATTTTGACATCAGTAACTCTACTCATTGTTGCTACAGCAGAAGTATTTTGAGCTATATTAATGCCCTTTCTATCTTTGGTATTCTAAACAGCCAAAGGTCTGCTCTACTTGTCATTTCAAGCACTGATGTTATTAACCCCACTTTGGAGAAGACTTTTTCCCATTCTAGGGGGATTTATTATATTGTAGAGTCATAAAGTACAGCATGAAGTGACCCAAAGACATGAACTAGTCTGTCCTCTGATGCAGAAGGGGAATCAGTTCTGCCGAAATCTGAAAGAAGTTTGTCTGTTGTGTTCTTAAAAACCTCTAGTGATAGCGATTCTGCAAACCCTCTCAGTAGTCTGTACAAGTCTTGGCAGCTGGAGGTTTTTATTCGTATTTATCTGAATGTTTGCTGAAACGATTTAAACTTACTACTTCTTAACCTAGTAACAATAGACATAAGACAAAAGCAAAAAACCTATTCTTTACATATTTGAAGACTGTTACCCTATTTCTTCATGTGCGCTTCTCTAGAATGAGCAACTCTGGTTCTTTCACTTGTTCCTCCTAGGTTGTGTACCTCAAACTTGATTATTTGCTCCACTTTACACTAGATTCTTTCAGTTACGCTGTCATCTTGAAGTGTATACCTTCTGCCACTCTCTATTTTGCTTTTTCTGTATACGGAATGTGATAATTTTTGAGTGTTGTGCTGAAGAGACACTACCTACCAGCTTTGAAATCTTTATGATCAAGATGCAATTCTTGAAAACTGGACAGATCCATAAACAGTAGCCAATCGTTGCTGCTTATCTTAGAAAATAAAAACTAAAAAACACTAGCTTGGAGAGCCACAGTAGATGGGTTGTTATGCTATCACAGGTTTGGGATGTAGATATCCATGGCATTATTACTGAAAAATCCATGCAAAACTGAATTTGGATTCTAATGAAATCAAAATATAAATTAATTATGTTTGATGTTTAGATGTAATGAAGATTTTCGAGTATATTAATGACCATGGATTTCCAAGGATATTTCAGGTTTAATGTGGAGATGTCTAGTTATGTTTGTAGTCTTAATAATTTTCACTGATTATTTTTGATAGAATAATAGTTGGGGGGGGATGTCTCACTAAAGGAGTTAGTGTTTTACCTGTATGTCAGTCAGATATGGAAATTGGTACAGCTATTGCCTGATTTTGATACAGATGGAGGGCTACTCTAGCCACTCTCAGATGGGTGGCAAGAGTCTCTTCAGACACAGCTGGTTCACTGTCACATGTCAAGGATCTCACATCACACATCCACTTTCTTCCTCTCTATCCCTCTACAAGTAAATTGGCTTTATTTTAGGAAATTGCCAACATGGTGGTTGATCAGTGAAAACTGTTGTCCAAGATTTGTACAGTAACTAGCATGTGGGGAGTGATGTTAAGTAGAGGAAGGACATGGTGGGGAGCTTGCTGGAATTCTGTTATGTGTTCAGTGAAGGAGACCATATATGTTAGGGACTTCATAAATGCATTTGTGCGTGTGTTTTTCTGAATATGTATGTCACATCTTGATACATTTTTAATTTTTATTTTAATAAACCAGGTGCAATCACAGTAAAAGAGCCAAAGTTTCTTGATTATGAAATTAAGAATGAAATACATCTTTTAGTTTTGGCTGAAAATAGCTTGTATTCAGCACTCTGTGGAGTGACAGTTTTGATACAAGATGTAAATGACAATGTACCTAAATTTGAGCAAAGCTATTACAAAGCATCAGTATGGGAAGGCCACAGCCCTAAAACAGACATCATACAGGTAAGTGGAAATATATCTCCCCAAGCCCAGTGCTGTAGCTAAAAAGAAGTTTGGTTGATTTGTTCATGACTACAATCCTGCTAGGTCTGTTCTGGACTGCTGTCTCTTAAAAACTGAGGGTGGGGTTCTTCGTGTTGCTACTACTTTGCTTGAATATCTAAAATACTAAATGATTTTTTTTTTTCTAGACCACATTTCAGACCTTTCATTCAGGTTTGTTAAGTTGAAAGAGAATTCTTTATTTTCTTATAAAGAAAATGTTGTGCAGCAGGACTTTAAATTCTTTTTTTAAAATTTTCTGTTTCTCTCCAAGTAGTTGAAAAATACCGTTGAAAGCTGTGGTTCTGGTTACAATACAGGCTGGGTCTTGCACTAACGCATATACTGAAAGGGCTATAGCAATAAAAAGAATACTTTTAACTCATCAGGCTAGTAGAGTCAAACCCAAGTGTTCAATTTAAAATCTGATGCCTAAAGAGCAGCTTGTCTCAATTTAAATGCGCAAACACTTCTTCCTCTGAATGGATCCATTCTCCGAAAGTGTTTCCAGCTGGCCATGTTAGAGCAAAAGAAGACATCAGTTGGACTAGAAGAACGCATAATTTTCTCAGTACATGTTCTTGCATTGCAAGTCAGGTCACAGTGAGGGTCATGTTAGGTACTAAATATATTCCTCCTCTAGAGAATAAATAAATGGAAAGCTACAAATGGCTCCAGGGCAAAGTGATTAGAAACTGATGGACATTGTATTTAGAGAAACATATGCCCAGGAATGGAGAAAAATCAAAAGGCAGTCAACCCAGATGTGTAGTCAAAATTTTATGACAGAATACATTCTATTATGTTTCCTTTATTCTATCTGACTGGTTGCCTCTGCTATGGTTTGGATCCCATACTCATTATAATGCTTGTTCAGCAACCAGAAAAATACAAACTCAACTCTTCAAAGAGTCAAAGGAGTCTTTGATAAACCTGTTCACTGCTGTTGAATGTTATTTATTCTGTTGGTTTTATAGCTTGCCTCTGCCTTTTTTACATTTTTCTAGTTCATGTTTTAAAAAGTAATTAGTGAGATATTCCATGAAAGCTCTGAAAACTTTTTAATTTAATTATTTTATCCTTTGTCTATTTTTATAGCAGTAACACTTTAAAGGCCAGTCCTGGACCCCTGAGAAAGTGCATTTTTATGTACTAAGCAGAGACAGCATTCTAACAGCAACCTTATAGTAATACAAGCAGTGTAAAACGATTGCAGTCAGCCCTAGCACTTTATGTAGCTAAATTTCAGATTCCTTGGGGAAAGAATTCATGTGCATCCTATTGCAATTCATGAGCAGATTTTGTGACCTCGCATGACACTCATGTTGGGGACCAATATGATTACTTGTTTAAATCTGTGCAGTCGAAAGGAAAGTACCCAGAAATAGATGACTATAGTATAAAGTTTTTCTTTCTGAAATCTCATTCTGCCATTTTGAATTAAGCCTCAGTTTTGCTCCCAAACAGGTATTTGCAACTGACCTTGACAGTGGGCTGAATGGAGAAACTGAATACTCAATTTTATCTGGTAATGAAAATGCAACATTTCAAATTGATTCAGCACGAGGGATTTTAGCAACTAATACGGTCCTAGATCATGAAAACACTTCATCTTACAGGTTTGTATGCAAGGTTTTTATAAAATTGTATTCTTTTTGATCAATTTAACTTGAGATTGCTCATGTTACATATTTTATAGTTTTCTGTTGATATCCATTACCCACAGAGCCTGGGTGCAAGCCAGACAGCATTGAGAACAACACTAAAGCTGCCCAAATTTTACCACGGCTTCTTGCGTACTTCTCAAATTTAGCTTAAGAAATATGATCTTGTTTAATCAATGGCAACACTTACTGATATAAGTGAGTGTGATGATTCACTACAGGAATCATGACAGTTCCTGGATTTTAGATTATTAAGAACTGTACAGCCATTCCCTCTCTGGAACCATTTTTTATGAATATGTAAAGACGCAGAGGAAGCATTCAAACCAAATCCAAGAAATAGGGACATGTTTTGTTCTTTAATTAGAATATAGTTCAAATTTTATCTCCTTAATCTGATAAAGATGCTGTCTAGTACTAAGTATTAGTTTTTTTCTTGTTTTCCAAGAAACTGTGAGTAAATATGATCAAGTGGACATGATAATTTTTCTTTACAGGTCACGCCCTAATTGGAATCAGAAAACAAATACAGCATGACTTAAAGAGAAAATATAAATATGCCGATTCATTAATATAGCCTTTTTATGTACTGTAATCTATACAAAAAGTAGATTTCTGTCTATATGTCAGTAGAAATTACCTTTTTTTTCTATATGGTTGTGGCCTCAGTTAAAGTATTTGCAAGTTTTCCTATCCTCTGAGGCCTCAAAGTTTTAAACATCCAATCAGAATTCTTATGAACCAGAATAACTTTTAGAAAACCACATCAAAAAGATCAACAGCATATGATTATTATTTTTTAATATCAGTGTAATTTGATAATAGAGTCCTAAAGGAAATGCTTTGTTTTAACTTAATATACAGATCTCTTCATTTGGAGTTTATTTTTCAATTTTTCACTGAATCAAAAACATCAGTTCTGATTTTTAGTCATTTAAATAGCATAGTACATTTTATGTGTAACTGGTACTTTAAAAGAATGCCTGGAATAATTCCTTCAAAGGCAGGATGTTTACTGTTGATGAAGCATTGAACATGTAAGCATAATAATTCTCGTATTTGTCTTTAATTGGGAGCCTTACTTATTTCAGTATTTATGTTGGAATTCTAGCCTTTTAAATTGACTGTTTGAGGAATCTGACTCTTCATATTCTTTCTCTTTATTAATATGTTATTAATCTGTACATTGTTAAGTGAGAAATGAATAGCAAAAGAAGCTTTCAAAACTGTTTTCCTGTTTAATTTCAAAATGTTACCATTGGTTCTTTCAAAGTTGCAAGAAGTTGTTTGTTTTATCTAAATTGAACATTTTCATCCCCAGAAGTTCTAAGACCCTTATAATAGGAGTTATAATGAAAGTGTTGACAGAACCTTAATTTTAATGCCTTGGCTGAGATGTTTTTTTGAGAGTTTTTTCCTGAAACCTTAGAAAGTGATTATTTTTAGTAAAATATTTCCATATGTATACCTTACCAATATTCATTCTAGAAAAAAAACACTTTCTATATGGAATTATACATGGTCAACGATTGAATAGTAGCCTGCAATTCAAGTTATGTGTTCTGTTGGCATCAGAAACCTCAAGGACACCCAGAGCAGAGCTGGTGTGGTTCAGGAACGGAAGTGCTGCAATCCACAGCTTGAGTTACAGCCTTGGTATTCCATATGGTCAGGTGAACATTTAGGAAGTAATAGCTACTTGACACTTTAAACAAAAACTGTGACTTAGAGGAAAAATAAAACGTTCAGAAGATCTGCAAGGAGACCCAGAAAATATGAGTGACATGCAAACAATTGTTAGTACACAAAGTGTTTAATGCCAGGCTCTGACTCTTATATCCTTTCATGTTGCTCGATGCTTTGGTTTTTTGTCTGTTCCTTTTTTTAGAGCACCCGTTCAGTTAGATTTAATTTTGAATTCCCTTCTGAATAATTTTTAAAACTGGGCAGTGGTGAAGTCTTCCAAATAATCTTTGCTTATGATAAACATTTGCTCTTTATTGTTCAGAAGCTAGTTCCCACAGAGAACATCCTTTTATCAATGTTTACCAGGCTGTTACTTACCATTTTCTTTGCTACATTGTTTGTGGAAATCAAAAGGATGTTAACAGAATCTACTACCCATCCTGATGCAGGTGTAAAATGGAATGGTACAGGCAAGCTCTCTTAATCTGACAGTGAGATTCTGGTCCCACTAAAATCAGTGGGAACTTTGCCATTATCAAATGATGCATGAATTGAGGTTTTTCACTTTATCACTTACAATTGTAATAAAATAGGGGAGGTTATTCTGTATCTCTGCACACTTTTTGGCTGAATATTACTTTGGATGTTTTCATATTACCCAATTTTCACATTCCTCTTGTCCCTTTATAAGCAATAAGGAGGGCCAGGTTCCTCCAAAGGACAATTTAGTACTTAAGTTTTAATTCCTACTCTGAATTACCAACTGGAGAAATGTGTCTTATTTGAAAGAGGCTTGCTTGCTTGTTTAACTACCTACATTTGGTATGAAATTGAGTGAAATTAATTTTGATGAATAATTCCTTTTCTTTGTATGACTTTGTTATGGTTTTGCCACCTAGAATCTCCTGGCCATTTTTCCTGCAAGACACAAGATAGAAAACTCCAGACAGTCAACCTTACAGAAAGGAAGGGATGCAGTGAGGAGCAGAAAGGGCTAATCTTTTTGTTTGTAATTTTTCCCCTGTTTAAAACATTCGGTGATTTCTGACCAATAGTGACAATTACTGCTTCCTTTAATTGTAGGTTGGTTGTACAAGCTGCTGATAAAGGAAACCCCAGACTTTCTGCTACCAGTATTGTGAGGATACAAGTGTTAGATGTTAATGACAATGCTCCAGTTGTCCAACCACTAGGTGAAGTGGAGGTCCCAGAAAGTAAGTGTGGTAGTACAGCTAAGTTTTGTTAAGACTGGGATTTGTCAGGCAACAGTAGTGCTTTTAGTGATTTGTGTAACCAAGCAACTATAGTAAAAAGGATAATGGATCATATTAATACTGAAATATCAAAGTAAATTGTGATCCACTTTTGTTCTCAGAGGCATTATTCTTAATCTTTAAGCATTGTGTTTAAGAATAGTTTGGAACAAAACCATAGCCAATTCAGAAAGAGGAAAACAAACTCCACAGAAATACATCTGTAATCTGTTCATTTTGGACTTCAGTGTCATATTCTTCAGATGTCTTCAATTTCTGCTTTTCTCCAATAAAAATACTTGATGTTAAAATCAGCATTGCTAGAAATGAGACATTTTGAACTTCATTGTGATGAAAGAAATAATTTCTGTAAATTTGAATGAAGCTTCAAAATGCTCTATTGCTTAATCCAGTTGATGATCATGAAAAGGAGGACCCAGGACCTCCTGAGTTCACATCCCAGCAGACATCTGGTATGTTGTGTGACATTAGCTCTACATTTGCAGACCTTGAGTCTTAAGCCCAGCATTTTAAGTGATGGGCATCATATATGTGATACATTAAGATACACAGCACTAAATTTATAAAGATTTAGGTGCTGAAATTCCAGTACTCCTGTTAACAAAAGATATCAAAGCTGTCTTTCTAGTGATATTTTTTAGCCTTTCCTAAATTTAGCTCCCACTGGTAATGACACAAGTATGGGAGTCATGGATGCACAGCAGCTGTAAACTACTGGCTACTTATTTAGGTTTTTATATTCTGTTTAAGAACACTTGCTTTAGGACATTGCACAGCATTTTTGAGGCCTAATGCCCCAGGCATACAAATGGGAAATGGTTTAGTTTGTTAGCACCAGGCTTTGTTAGATGATCACTAATATGTTCAGTTTGTAATCCCCAGTACTGTCAATTTGGCACATGACAAAAGATGTCTGTATCCAGTTTCTCAATCCAATAGGACTGTACCTTGATCTCTTAAGATTTTTGTGCCACGTAGACCTGGCTGGAGGTCTCGTTTCTCTCTAGTGGTCTTCTCCTCCTTTGGAAAATCTTCAGAATTGCATTTGCTGGTTCTACACAGACATGGGGACTCTGATGCCTCAGTCAAATATTCTTGTGGAAGTTTGTGTTCAATAAATTCATGTCACCTACATGCTCATGGAAAACCGTGGAAGTTCTTATTGCTGGTGAAAAAACAGTTATGGCTATACTGGATCTGGGAAAGTCTAAAGAAAACACGAATTAAAATTGGAATAAAGCAGATGCATTTGAAGAAATCCACTACTGTTTCCATAGCATTTCTGGATATTTCTCTTATTCTAATACACAAAGTCAAAATACACCAAAAGCTAGTACAGAAAGATTACACATAACTAAGATTCAATATTACAAAATTGGGAAAATCTTCTGAAATTGTAGCATCATCTTTTAGCTATGACTTATTCTGAAAATTATTGTTTCAGATGCCCTGCCTGGTTTTATAGTGACTCGGGTGTCAGCAAGTGATGTGGACTCCAGGCCAGCACTTCAGTTTGGTTTTATTTATGATAATAGTCCTGGAATGAAATTTGCCATCGATCAACACACTGGTGTAGTCACAGTGGTGGAACCATTAGATTTTGAAGAAACTACTGTGTATAAGCTGAGGATCATAGTTTCAGATTCTGTACATCAAACAGAAGCAGAACTTGCCATCCTTGTTTTGGACGTCAATGATAATCCACCAGTGTTTACTCAGGATTTGTATCAGGTGGGAATGTGGCAAATGGACAAGAAACATGTGATGTCTTTCCATAGACGATGATAAATAGTAGGAGTGCTTGTTTATATTTGTCTTTAAATATGTATTTGAGCACCGAGAAAGAAGGTCTCTGCAAACTATTACTGAGCAGAAACAGAACAGAGCTCTTCTGGGAAACCCCAGACCCTTTGTAGGAATTCTGCTCAAAGGACTGAGGGAATTGTTCAATTTTCATGTTTGTGGTTTCTGACTTCAGAAGGGAAGTGGTGTGAATACTAGCTGTACTCCATACACCATGCATTCATCCCTAGGAGTTACTGGGTATAATCCAAGCCAGTTTGGGGAGCAGGATCCAGTGTTCAGAACTTCCTTCTTCTGAGAGAATGGTAAACAAGTTGGTACATTTATTCTGGCCCAGTTACTATGGCATGAATTCCTTCATTTTCAGTTACACAGCTCCACAGAGGTCTAGCAAATGCCCCTGTGGTAAGATATACATAGTTTGTAATGTGTAACCCTGCCTTATAGCAATGGGCCTCATCTAGGGAGTGAGGGATATGAGTTTTGACCTTTCCAACATCCCCTACTAGACTGAAGAGGGTACAGAGCTCAGCTTTTGGACTTCTGGACAAGCATTTGAACTGCTAGACTGTGGTAGAAGTCAAGCTGTCCAACAGTGTTTTGAAACAAAGCTGCTTTAGCAACTATGGACAAATATGGGCCACTAAGATGGTTAAAGGAATTGGATGATTAAAGGAATTGGAATTTCTAAAATAGAACAGACTATTTCAGTTGGAAGTGACCTACAACAATCATCTAGTCCAACTGCCTGACCAATTCAGGGCTGACCAAAAGTCAAAGCATGTTACTAAGGGCATTGTGCAAATGCCTTTTAAACACTGGTAAGTTTGGGGCATCGACCACCTCTCTAAGAAGTCTGTTTCAGTGCTTAACCAAACTTTTGGTTAAGAAACACTTCCTAATGTCCAGTTGAAACCTCTCTGGTGCAGCTTCGAACCATTTCTCCGCATCCTGTCACTGAATCCCGCAGAGAAGAAATCAGCACCTCCCTCTCCACTTCCCCTCCTCAGGAAGCTGTAGAGAGCAATGAGGTCACCCCTCAACCTCCTTTTTATCAAAATAGACAAGCCCAAAGTCCTCAGCTGCTCCTCATAGGACATTCCTTCCAGCCCTTTCATCAGCTTTGTTGCTCTCCTCATGAAGCTCCTTGAAAGCATCCAATCCTCCTTCTTAAACTGTGGGGCCCAGAACTGCACACAGCACTCGAGGTGAGGCCGCGCCAACGCTGAATGCAGCGGGATGGTCACCTCTTTTGACCGGCTGGTTGTGCTGTGTTTGATGCACCCCAGGATGCGGTTTGCTCTCTTGGCTGCCCGGGCACACTGCTGACTCCTATTGAGCCTGCTGTTGACCAGCACCTCCAAATCCCTAAAAAATATATAATGCTGCATGAATTCGCATGTCGTCCTTGCACAGGGGCCATGCTAATCTTCTCTGTATCGTTCCAATTTTAGTATATGTGTTGCCAAAACGAGAACAGTATCACGCAAGGCGCTCAAAGGTAGGCTGCTAAAAGGATTTTGCTCTGACTTCATTAGCCCTAAGGCTGCGGGGCCTGGGCTAAGGCCGAGCACATGTAATGGCTTGGAGCTGGGGTTAGGGATGGGAGAGAGACAAAGCCGGGACCTCCAAGCGGACTTACGCTGCAGTAATGCTGCCGCAGGAAAGGTGAGCTGCCAGAGGAGCTGTTTCCTTGGGACTTGTTTGTGTGGGGCTAGGCCGTGCAGCTTGGGCTGAGGCCCAAGAGAGCCTACAGCATGGATCGTTCCGCCTGGGAAAGAGAAGGCTCAGGGAAGATCTTACCAAGGTGTGTAAATACTAGCGGGGGGAGCAAAGATGGCAGAGCCAGACTCTCCTCTGTGGTGTCCAGTGACAGGACAAGAGGCGGTGGGCACAAACTGAAATACAGGAAATTCTGTTTAAACGTCAGGAAAAACGTTTTTGTTTAAACTCTCAACAGTGACTGAGTACTGGCACAGGTGTCCCAGAGAGGTTGTGGAGTCTCCATCCTTGGAGATACTCAAAACTCAACTGTAGAGAGTCATGGGCACCCTGCTCTAGGTGACCCTGCTCTGCGCAAGGCTTGGACAAGATGAGCTCCGGAGGTGCCCGCCAGCCTCAAGCATTCTGTGATCCTGTGAACTGAGCTGTTTGCTTGACCGGGTGCTTTTTGTGTGTGGTGAATGTGCTCAGAGCCAAAAATATGAGGCACCGCAGAAGACTTGAATTTAATAATGCTTCATTTATAAAATCTCAGACAGGTTTAGGCAACAAGTAAGTCTAAACATTTGGTGTAGTAAAGAAATTTCAACGCCTGAGCATGTGCAGGTACAGCAGTTTAGTCCCTTAGATAACTGTGGAACCGACTGCAGGCACCTGTGAAACTTTCAGGTGTCTGAGTTGTCAAGATTTGTGTAAACTGATCACTTAAACTCTTAAGTCTAAATTCTGGAGGAAAAAAAAAAAAAGGCATTATTAATGCCCAAGTGATTTTTAGACCTTGCCTTAAGTTTTCCTCAACCCTCATATATGTCTGATTTTGGAGAGCAGTTTAGGCAAGAACTTGCTTGTGCAAGTGCTAGGGATGCTTTTGTAGATCAGAGCAGATGTTACAGGCAGAGTTATTAACTGATGCAAAAACAGCGTAGCTCTATTGACTATGCTAATGTAAACAGCTGAGCTTCTGTCTCCATGCTCCTGATATTTTGATGTGTTGCTTGGACGGTAAGATACACGGCTTCTTTTCAGTCTGATATGTATAATTCCTTATTAATCATCCTGTATTTTTTACCTGTTTATTTTCCTTTTAGGTGTTTTCATATTTATGCCTTTCATATATAGTTTCAAATATATATATGGTTATTATATACATATAATTGCTCTATTAAAATGAATTAAACTAACTCTTGAGGTTATGACAGAAGTAGTTGCTGTATCATATTGTTCATTTGAAATTGGATTTATAAGGTGGAAGGCAACTTTGGTCACAAAAGTACTGTATCTGGACTTGAAATAATGGAAGTTCTATAGAAGGGAAAGGACTTTCTCTGTTTCCTAGATCATATGAAGAAAAAAGGGACCATTTTGAAAAACTAAATTCTAGGAATAACCCAGTGATTATTAAGTGCTCTGGTGCTAGAATTTTCAGGGTACATGTATTGGTTTTTTTAATGGTCAGAAAAATACTCCAGATGGGGACTGCAGACTGTATTCCATGTACGAAAATCAAGGTGTTTCTGAAAACAGGGAGAAAAGCCAATTTTAATTGCAGTCCATTGTATTCATTCCATTAGTGTACTACTGAAAAAAGAGATTCAGCGATTCTCTGAACTCATTGTTATAATGAACTGAACTAGATAGATTTTACTACAGTTTAAAGTTTACTATAAATTTTGGCTGTATTGTATGCATAATTTTCAATATCTCAACTCTTTACAGTTTTGTCCTAGAAGAAAACGGGTAGGTGAAACTTCTTCCAAAGCTGCGTACAGTGTTTCGGTTTTTTCTATACAATATCAAATGAAGAAAAATGTATTTTTTTATGTTCCAAATATTTTATTAAGCTCTATCAAAACTGTAATTTTTATATTCACCTTTACAATCAGGTGACCTTGCCAGAGTTCATTTCTATGGATGCCACTGTTCTGACAGTCTCTGCTGTGGATAGGGATTCAGAGCATAATGGAATGATTTCCTACAAAATCCTCTCTTCCTCTGAGGGATTTTCCATTGATCAGAAGAATGGTGAGTCTATAAGCATGGTTTATTATATCTGCTTTTTCAGTGTAAATTGAAGAGTCCTATCGCACTTCCTCACCTGTTGCCAGTGATCGCTTGAGTTCTCGAAATCTGTGGTGGCCAAAGTCCACCATATGTTTTGGCTAAATCTGCCATTATCACTGGAGAACTGATCACATCAAAGACTGGAGTTCTCAGTTTGTCCCTGAACATGAGGCAGCTAGTCACAACATCCTATAGGTGCTATTCCTCTGATGTTATTTGATAGAAAAGTTGCTGTATGTTTTGCATTGATTCATAGCATTTCAGCTCATGTATTAGATTTAAGTCAATTTAAGTTCATGCTTACTATTTTTTAGTATAAGTTGAACCTATCATAATGGAGCTCCTCTACAGCTTGGGCAGTATGTTTTTAAGATTGCTTCTTTAGAGAGCCTATGTTATCCTATAATCCTAAATGGAATTAAAAATTTTCCTAAATTGAGAACACTTTCTCCAAAGTACATAATTTTCTTCAACAGTTAAGAGATTTACTGATTTAAATTTACTGACCTAATGTTGTAAGAGCCTGGGAGGGGAAAACTGTGTGTGCGTCTCTTTGTATGCATGTGTACACAAGACTTTTTGGGAGTGTCAGCTTCAGAGATTACTAGATACTGCAAAAATAATGTGCAACTATTGTTCAGTGAGCGAGTTTTTATTGCTTATTTGCTGTTCCCAGGTGTTTATATGAGACAAATTTTTGAATGCAATGTTTGTTGCGTGATTGTAACTACAAACACTGAATATACAAATGTCTCGCCCAGTTAAAGCTGTTCTTTTTTTTTTACCCAGTTGTTACTCTGTATTCACCAATCTGTCTTTATGTTTGGCTAGTGGCTGTTTTCAGCTGTGATCAGAAAATTGTCACACAGCGTTGTCTCTGTGGTGCTTAGCTATACACAATGAAGAGTGAAGCAGGGGGCTTATGAATATAGAGTCATTGAATGGGTTAGGTTGGAAGGAACCTTTCAAGATCATCTAGTCCAACCCCAACGTTTGGATAAACAATTTGAATGAACCATGTTTACATAACTTATTGGCAAACCTATCTAAATAACAAACAAGCCCATAATGCTGTTACTGGATTGCAAGCAAAACAGGAAAACTAATGACCTGCAGTCATGAACTCGCACAGCATAGCCACCTCTAATAAGGAGCCTATACTTCCTTAGCTTTGTTTTGCCTTTTGTGTTACGCAGTTTGCATGTTCAGCCTGTTACTAGGAAGAGAAATTTTTGCCGGTCTAAATGTGTATGTGTATTTGATACTGCATTAAGGCCTTGGCTTCACAGCATTACCTGTGCTTTCTTAAAATCATAGAACAGTTTGGGTTGGGAGGGACCTTTAAAGGTCATCCAGTCCAACCCCCCTGCAATGAGCAGGGACATCTGCAACTAGAGCAGGTTGCTCAGGTCCTCATCCAACCTGACCTTAAATGTTTCCAGGGATGGAGCATCTACCACTTCTTTGGGCAACCTGTGCCAGTGTTTCACCATCCTTACTGTGAAAAATTTCTTCCTTAGATCTAGTCTGAGTCTACCCTCTTTTAGTTTAAAATCATTACCCCTTGTCCTGTCACAACAGGCCTTACTGAAAAGTTTGTCCTCATCTTTCTTATAAACAGCCTTTAAGTATTGAAAGGCCTCAGTAAGGTCACCCTGGAGCCTTCTCTTCTCCAGGCTCAACACCACCAACTCGTTCAGCCTGTCCTCATAGGAGAGGTGTTCCAGCCCTCTGAGCATTTTTGTGGCCCTCCTCTGGACCTGCACCAACGAAGGTCCATGTCTTTCCTGTCCTGGGGACTCCAGAGCTGGATGCAGTACTCCCAAGTGTGGTCTCACCAGAGCAGAGTAGAGGGGCAGAATCATCTCCCTCGGCCTGCTGGCCATGCTGCTTCTGATGCAGCCCGGGAGATGGTTGGCCTTCTGTGCTGCGAGCTCATGTTGCTGGCTCATGTCCAGCTTTTCATCCACCAGTACTCCCAAGTCCTTCTTGGCAGGGCTGCTCTCAATCCCTTCATCCACCAGCCCATGTTGATACTTGGGGTTGCCCTGAACCAGGTGCAGGACCCTGCACTTGGCCTTGTTGAACCTCATAAGGTTCACATGGGCCCACTTCTCAAGCTTGTCTAAGTCCCTCTGGGTGGCATCCCATCCCTCAGGCATGTCAGCCGCACCACTCAACTTGGTGTCATCTGCAAACTTGCTGAGGGTGCACTCGATCCCACTGTCCATGTCACTGATGAAGATATTAAACAGTACTGGACCCAATACAGACCCCTGAGGGACGCTACTCATCACTGATCTCCATCCAGACATTGAGCTGTTGACCCATTACTCTCTGGATGCGACAGAGTTACTTTGGGGTGTGCAGCCATTACAGTTGAGTCGTTTTCAAATATGACTGATCAGATTCAGCTTTTGAAATCACATTTACTTGCATTAGTGAGTGCGAAGTAGGGGCTTTTGTTAATTCTGTTTTATTTTCAGGTTCAGTGTTTGCTACGGGACCAGTGACACAGCTGGAAAAGTTTTCCATTATTCAGCTGCTGATAGAAGCCACGGACGGTGGCAGTCCCACTCTGAGTGCAGTGACCTCCGTAGAGGTGCACATAGAAGATGTAAATAACTATGCCCCTCAGTTCACAAGAGTTCTCTACAATCTCAGTGTGAGCGAGGATGCCTCAGTTGGAGAAAGTGTCCTCACATTTTCAGCTGTCGACTATGATTGGACACATGAAAACACATATGTTGAATACTCTATTATTGATGGCAATGCTGAGAATTTGTTCTCTGTGGAAACAAGTGTTATGGAGTCAGAAACATCCTACAAACTTGTTGGCAGTCTTGTTTTGAGCAATGTTCTCGACAGAGAAATGGCAGCTTCTCACCGTTTGGTCCTCCTTGCCTCTGATCGTGGAACACCCTCCTTGAATTCAACTGCTACTGTGCTAATAACTGTGCTGGATGTTAATGATAATCCTCCAGTATTTAGCAGCCCAGAGTACCACATTCATGTCAAAGAAAGCATCCCTGTAGGTAGTCATGTCACTGAAGTTTCAGCAAAAGACTGCGATGCAGGCACTAATGCAGAGATCACTTATTCTATTATCTCTGGAAATGAAAGGGGACATTTTCATTTGGATGGGAAAACAGGATCAGTGGATTTGATGAAAACACTGGATTATGAGGATACCATGAAATTCACTTTGATCATTCAAGCCACAGATGGTGGCACTGATGTTAAAAATGTGGCTTTTTCTGTTGTTCTTCTTAACATCCTAGATGACAATGATTATGCCCCACTGTTTTTGTTTCCTAGCCTGACCTGCGTTGTCAGTGAAAATCTGCCTACCTTTTCTTTTGTGTGCGCTGTTAATGCGCTGGATTTTGATAAAGGCTCCTATGGACACCTTACCTACTCCATCCAGTCTTCATGTTTGGCTCATCGTGAAGCTCCTAGAGACCATGACATGTTCTTCATTGATCCCTTAACAGGAGATATTCATACAAAGCAGATGTTTGACTATGAAAGCCAGAATAGGTACTGTCTCATCATCCAAGCGAAAGACAAAGGTGACTCACTGGCTACCATTACAGTTCAAGTAGATATTGAGGGGAGAGATGAATTTGACCCAATGTTTACACAAGATCAGTATTTCTTTAATCTTCCTGAGAAGAATGAAGCAGGCCAGTTGCTTGGCAGAGTGACAGCATCAGACAGCGATGGTGGCCTGGACGGAGTTGTTCACTACTCCCTGCTAAAAACTTCTCCGTTCTTTTCTGTGAATCAAACCAGTGGTAATATTTATTTAACTCAGACTGTTCACAGAAGGAAACATGGCAGCAAAAGGAATGATGACACCCTGGAATTGTTGATAAGAGCTCATAGCCCCAAAACTGAGTCAAAGTTCACAGTATGCACTGTTTTGGTAAATGTTTCCAGTTCTTCTGAGAGTTACCCCATAGTGTCAGCATACAGCCTGACTATTAGCATTTCGGTCTCCTTGATAGTGTTCCTACTGCTTGCAGTCAGTCTTATTGCACTTATTCTGAGACATAATCGGAAAGATCTGATGAACTCTTGTGTGAAAAAAGCAGTGTCCTCCTCAGCTACTGATGTGAACTCAGCCAGCGAAGATAAGGACTGCCAGAAAATCCAAAGTACTGAAAGCAGTATGCTTCCCATGGGTGCCATAGCAGAATGGCTGAGCCTAGCAGGAATTGGAGAGGGGAAGGATGATGATGTCCCCTGCAGGCATTCAGACTCCAGTGGCCATAGTTCTGCCGAAGGAGAAAGTGCAGAGGATGAGGAAATCAAAAGGATCAATGAGCATCCTTGCAGAAAGAGTGCTGGCTCGGTGCTGAGTGAGCATGGCTCACGGGTGCCAGATTCGGGAATCCCAAGAGAGTCTGATCAGCTCTCCTATCAGTCTGGAGAAACAGATGCCGTGGCTACCATGCAAAGCATGGAGAGTGTGCAGGCCATTAAAGGAGAAGGCAGAGAAGAAACCTGTGACATAGCCTATGCACATAACAAAATGTTGTCTCAAACACTTCAGAAAATTGGAATAAAAGGAAAAGACATAATGACAGACTTCACAAGAGAATATATCTTGATGTCAGATAGGCAGGACTCTGGGTATGATTCATTTGCAACTCTTGGCACCTCTGATGAGGATCTCAGAGGTGGTTGTAACTGGGATTATGTGCTCAGCTGGGAACCCAAATTTCAACCTCTTGCCTCAATGTTTAATGATATCGCAAAACTGAAAGATGAAAATGTACACATTCACAGCTTCCCTAAGGAGAAATCTCTTGTTTTCCCTCCTCCCTTGATAACATCAGTGGCTCAGCCTGGCATAAGGACAGTGCCACCACGAATGCCAAATATAATACCAGGGCAAGCATTTAAAAAATACCCTCGTTCTCCTCTTACCCATAATCTTGGATACCCTCCACTAGCCATGACCCCCAATTTTTCTCCTTCTCTCTCTTTACTTACAATGCAGACGCCTACTTCTTCTCCAGTAATGTCCAATGGGAGAATGATAGGAACATGTCTTATTGATCCAAGCCATGAACTTGCAACGGAGAAAGAAATTCAAGTCTAGGTTATTAACTGACAGTAGTTTATGGTAAAAAAATATGGCTTAAAATGTATTTTGTTATTGTTTAACAAGCAAAATATGCCTATCAGAGATATATCACCAGTATTCTTTCTGTTTTCTTGATGAGCTGAAAAAGTTAAAATACAAAATAGCTACAAACTTGGGAACTATCCATTTTGTTCTTCCCAGAATACACTGTGAGGCCATGAGGCTTCTCCTCTTTCAGCTTCCAACAACTGGTTTCCTATGTAGATCACACAGCCAGGTGCCTGATACCCAACTTGACAGATTTTACTGGTTTTTCTCATGAAATATATCAATAACAAATAAATGGTAGTAATTCTTTACTATGGAAAAACTTTATCAGAATGCCAGTGGGTTCTGACCGCTTCTGTGCTGGTATTAGAAGAGGGTACTAGAGCGATGTGTAAATATAGCAGGTTTGGGGGTGTGCAAAGAATAAACCAAGGATTCTTACTGAGCTCCTTCTTGAGTGTTTGCCCAGACTTCCCCCATCTGAGCCCCTGGGTCTCAACAACCTGTTGGGCCTGCTGCAGCGATCTGCCATAGCTCCCCAGTGGGCTTTATTACTCATCTTTGTGCTGTGGAATCCCACTTAGCAGTTTCATTTATCTCCTGGTGTAAAGCCAGAGAGTCATGATTATGTGAATAACAGATCACCCTTAGAAAACAGAATAACAAGTGGCAAGATAAAAGCAACCATCATCTTCTCTATTAGTAGGTCTAAAATAGATACCTATTGTCTTTCTGTCCTATTACAGAAGCTGTCCTGGTCCCCAGGCAGCTGTAGGGATGGACAGCATTACAGTTATGAAGGTCTTGTATGCCTCCATCCTGGTTTTTGGTCCTGTGCTGGGCATATCTCTGCAAGACCAGATAATCTGGCCTTGTTTGTTGTATGTATCATACATATGGCATTTTGTGTATGTATGTATGTATATCCAGACACATACACATGCCTATACTGCTGTGTATGCTTGTATATTGTATCAGATCAATAAAATACACAGAAAATACATCTATAGTAACTCTTGTTTCTTTTCAGTGTATATTTAAAAGTCTTTTGTATCATGTGTATTAGAACTGGGCTATAGGGAAGGGTCTAATTGGTGCCTGGGAATCTGTTACAAGTTGGATGTGTACAGAGGTATGTGTTGTACAGGTTATAACAGGTGCAGAAAAAGCATGTAGTGCGGTTAGATTGAGTGATCTTGTGGGATCAGCATCGTGTGTGCATGGCTTTTGTCATTTCCTTGGTCATCCATGTCAAGATTTGCAGCCTGTGGGCTCATAACCTGTCTTTGAATAAGATCCTGTTTCTAGGGCTACACCTATGCTGTATTATCATGCAAGAGGATCCATGCTGCTATGCAAAAGTGCTTCTTTTAAAGCTGGCATTTGTTCTTTGTACTGCCATGGAGTATGAAATGAGACGTAGCTTAGGAATTCGTCAGGATAGACAAATGTAACTAAGAAAGGAGACAGTATAATAAGTTTTACAGTCAGACAAAAACCTGTGCCAGGAAGAGGAAAGCAAAGAGGAGGAGTTACTCCCAGTTCACGTCTGAACACGGAGTATCAGTTTAAGCATTATTTCAGAATTAATTTTATTGTCCACCTGTTAACATTATACTGTCTACAGACTGTTAGGTTTTGATTTATATGTCTTAACTTGTAAAGTAATTTCTAATAGAATGAGAGGTGTTCTTTGTGGTGTTCACTTCTGTGCATTTATAGTTTCAGGAGGCACACATGGCACACAGAACTACCTTTTCTATATAGTCAACAACTTAGCTAATCTGATTTCAGTTTCAGGTGATCATGGTCAAGTGGCAGCTATTACTCTGAGGAGCAATGAGCACATGCTGTCCTGGCAGGGGTCATCCTTCCAATGGGTGATCAGTGAAAGAATATATGTTTTACACAGAAAAACTGTGTTTATCTTTCATATTGATGGATATGAAGTGGTAGCTAGGGCCTCATTTCTTATATAGAGTCTAGACGAATGGATGAGTAGCTTTTTCTTCACTAGTGTTGCTGTTGCAAATGGAATACTATTAGCATTAGAAATCATTAGAAAGCATTCAGTCGTCATATTTACCACAAGGTTTGGACTTTACGATGTTAGTGTGTGCCCACTTCCTATAATTCTGCTTGAAAACTGAGAAAACCCTGTTTCTGTTTGTGCCCTTTTTGCTCCTTCAAATGCAGCTTGTTTTTGATGCCTTTCTGGAAGGATTAGGTGTGACTTGCATCATATTTATCAAGTCCATGAGATAACCAATGCATACTTTGTGCTGCTCTGAAGTGTTAGAGCAATCTTCTCTCTTATGTATGTGCTCACTGTGTATCAAATGGGAAACAACACTTAGCTAATATATTGTTGTTTCATAGTCAAGCTTAAAAATATGACTATAGAAACAAGTGTCTGCAATAAATCATGTGTATTTCTTTTAACCTTACTGTTCTTTTCTCTAACTAAATAGTATAGCTTCTATCATTTACCATGAGTTTAATATTAGCTTGCCTCAAAGAGGTTGTGTTACTTTGCAATTCTGCACACCAGTTTTAGCACTTTGGAGAAGGTACAGAACTTGTTAGTGGAAAATCATATTAAGCTCAAAATGCATAAGCTATAAAATAAAAGACAGTTGTCTCTTCTGGAATTTTGGCTGCCTGCCTTCTGGATTTGCTTGTTGGCAGCCTTGGAAACACTGGTGTAAATCACTACCAAATGGATATCAAAATTCCATCTACCAGTAGTAATCATTAAATTGACGTTCAAGCAGATTCCTGTGCAAAGAGGAAAAACCTTGATATTTTTAGGGAATTCATCATTTAGAGATTATAAAAACATATATACTTATTTTCTAAAATGATACCAAAACCACTAGTTACCTACACCAGTCCATATCTAGTTTTGCATTTTATCTTCAGCTGAAGACAGGACTCGTTCCTAAAGCAGTTTTAGATAAAAATAGTTCTGATAAAAATGAACCCTTGTTGCTAAGTCTATTGCATTGCTGATTCCTACTATCACTTATATTTGGTTGCCATCAATTCTCTGTGCTGTATGTCACTTGTTTTCTTTAACTGACATTAACTCTTCTCTTTGGGAAACCTATAAGCCAAAAAATGCTGCCCTGACAAAAAAGTGCTAGAACATCAGCTAGCACCGGACTGATGATTGTGCCCATATGGCTTCATACTTCTACAGCTCATGGATTCAAAAGCCAACCGGTAAACCAGTTGACCATCGTAGGCATACAGGGCCATTGGGATTAGACCTCCTCCCAATGTGAGCTGACTACATCGCTCCTTGAAAACTGGCCCCCAGGAGTAAAGAGCACAGGGGAATCCTTACAGAGAGGAAATTGGCACCAGTTTGTTGAGCATGAAGGGTGATGTTCCCTAAAATCCTGTAAAACACTAATTGGAATAGGAGGCAATTGCAACTTTGTAATTGAATATACTGTGGTGGGAGGTTTATATTTAGAATTTGGCTTACTTTGCAAGTGAAATGGATTTGCAGCTTCTTGCTTTTAGTATCTGGCATAACAGAACCAACTCACTATGGCAATATGTGGCTTAGTTCACAGTAGATGATCTGGTTGGAAAAACTAAGGTGTTGTAGAATCAAATTGAGTATACTTTTGGGTGTTGCATAGCCGCTAGCTCTGCTAGCTGTTCACTAGCATGTATACAAAGTGTAATGTATATTCAATCTGTGTATGGATTTGGATGTTCAGATTTCATTATAAAGAGCTGCAGTCTGGCATCCGAATCCTCTTGGTGGCTTTGAAAATTCCACCATAAATACATACAACATTTTTAAAACATTGGAAAAAACGTGGATGCTTAAGCAAAAGAAAAGGAGTCTTATAGAAAGGAAAATTGAGGATCTAAAACTTTCTGGTTTAGACTTGCACTTTACATTGCTGCTAGGGCTATTCCTCATAAAATGTCAGATGCTTTTCTTCTAAAATGTATAAAATGTAATAGAAGAACATCTGTAAGGAATAGAGAGAGGCATCAGGATAGGCTAGAATTGTGAAATGGTTCTGGTTTTTTGACACACATGAGCTATTTGAGTAATGTAGAAAATACCAAGTCCTTTAGCTGATGATAGTCACAAAAATAAAAATTGCCACCCTGTTATTGTATAAATGTTTGACTGACCCAAACAGGTCCTGTGCTGGATGAAGCATTAGATGCCAAACCACATTCCTGAAAACGCAGACACCATGGCAAAGACCTGAAATGATCCACTGTGGTATTCAAAATGTTAGTTGAAAATTTCATTACAATTAGAAAACTCAAATTTCTTTAACATTACATTCAAAACAAAGGATTGCCACACTGCAAACTATGTTTAAAAGAGTCAGCCATGTCCATGTCACCTTATCAACTTGAAAATAATCTTACATTTAACACTTTTTTAAAAAGCTTAGAGTATTTAACACAATCCTGGTCACCTTCCCTAAAACTGCATGTTAATTGGCTATGAAAATATCTCTGAAAACTCAGAAAATGGGCGTTGAGCTGTTGATTGTGAGAGCTGGTTAGCCAACAGTAGCTGTTACATAAAGGTGACATTTGAGAATGGATGGTGCTAGCTAATGCTGACTCACTAGCCCAACCTGGAGATATACCTTGTTGTTACTTATATATGCCTACAGCATTTCATTGAATACTTTCAAATGGGAATTCAAAAGAGTTTCTAAAATGGTGCTACTCATTTATTTCAGTTATGGCACCGGTAACAAGTCAAGCCTGCTTGCATCGACCTCAGAAATTCATCTCAAGACCCATCTAGCTGGGTGTAGACCCATTTCCAGTATCTCCTTTTTAACAAACTGTAGTGTTCGTTTAGTTTCAAAAGGTTTGAAAATACTGGATTCTGATCCAACTCCCAAGACTTCTTCCACTGATTTCAGTGGGACTTGAATAAAAAACACACCTGGAAGAAATGGACAACATGT